ATTTTTATTTTTATTTTTATTCTAGAGTGGACAACTTCCTAACTCTATTACAAACTTGCGGTTGTGACTTTAAATGCTATCTTCCTTTTGTTGTTCAGCTTGGAAATTTTTTTTTTCTATTTTTCTCAGTGTTTTGTGAAAGAAAGGTGGTGTTATATACATCAATTAGTGTACTAACTGTGTACCAACATTACTTATGACATTATTATTGACCACACCCATTAATCACATTACAAATTTCAAAAACCTCTTAAATTACGCCACATCATCAATTGGTACAGTAGTTAGTACACCAATTGATACATATAGCATTATTTGTCAAAGAAATATACAAAATTTTTGTGGATGGTTTAAATGGTGAAACCTATACTAACTAATTTTTTTTTTTGAACGCACCTACTAACTATGTTGTTATTACTTTTTTGTTCTCAAGGGTGTTCCCTTTTTTTTTTTTTTTCTTTGGTGGAAACATGTAGGGACCCTAAGTTTTAGTCATTGTACTTTAAATTCTAAGTTTCTAGTTAATTCTATTTTATCTTCCAATTTTGCTAAACTTTGCAATTAGGTCCAATGGAACAGTATATTTTTCTAGCCTTTATTAATTGCAAATAGGTATTTGTGTGTTATTTCATAACGTAGAAATATTCCTAGCGCTTGAGTTTTTATTATAACCAAACATAAATAGGATTACATTTCTCATTCCTTTTCCAAATCCCACCCCAAAAACCCCAACCAAACACAGCATAAGTTTTAGTCATTGTACTTTAAATTCTAAGTTTCTAGTTAATTCTATTTTATCTTCCAATTTTGATAAACTTTGCAATTAGGTCCAATGGAACAGTATATTTTTCAAGCCTTTATTAATTGCAAATAGGTATTTGTGTATTATTTCATAACGTAGAAAAATTCCTAGCGCTTGAGTTTTATTTCATGTTAAACCCTAAGTTTATTTACTAACTTTGGTAATACATTTTATTTTCCTTTTTCTGTGTATTAATTTCTTTTGTATACTAAAAGGTGGAGGATCTCCTCCAGTCCATATTTTATTTCATTTTAAACCCTAAGTTTATTTACTAACTTTGATAATGCATTTTATTTTCCTTTTTCTTTATATTAATTTCTTTTGTATACGTGGAGGATCCCCTCCAGTCTAAAATTTGAGGCGTTGTTCCAGCCCATGAGTCCTGTTTTGATAATTCAAACCATTCATTTTGTCGAGTACTTTGTGTATTTCATCCACACAAAAAAATAAAATAAAAAATAGTTCGATCCAATAATTGTAACTAGTTTAATTTATTGCGTTTATCATAGGAAAAAATGTATAGTTTATTTTTTTTGTCGTCCAAATTTTTTTTTTTTTTGAAAAAATACGGTAAATTGAACTAGTTACAGTTATCAGATTGGCGCTAAAGTGAGCAAAACTTCCAGGTTGACCATCCGATCGACCATCCAAAGCTTTTTTCTTGCTTTGTTGCCCAGCCTTGGTTTTATCGTCATGTTTGCTGCTTTGCTTTCGTTGCCTACTTCTTTGCATGCTTTCTGTACTTTTAAGGCATCAAATAATTCTAAATAAAACCGAGAGATTAGAATTATGATAATTGGATGATCGAGGGATGTCCTGGCGGACGACTAGGAGGATGTCCAAAACATTTCACCAAAGTATTACACAAGGTGGTCATCCTAGAGGATGACCACAATGAAAAAAAACATTTCAACAGAGTATTATACAAGTTGGTCCTCTTGGGAGATGACCACAATTTGGGGATGTCTTAGCAAACGACCGGGAGGACGTCCTGGGGATGTCCTGGTGGACGACCGGGTTAAAGAATAAGAATATTTTAAAAGAATATAGTTAAAGTAGAGCGTTGTTGCAGTGTATGTTTAAAAAGTGACTAGCTAAATTAGTAAAGTGAAATTTTGGATAGCTATTTTAGCTATGTTTACTGGAGATACTCTAAGCACCACATCATTTCACTACAATGACCACAGTTGCTATTGTTATCACCACTACCACTACAGCTACTACAACCCTTCTGCCACTACAATAACCACCATTATTATTCCATCACCACAATAACCACCATCATTACACCACCAGCAGCACTCCCTTTTTATCTTAAATACATTATCCCTCCACCGTTACCACAACCCCTCTCTAACCTCCACCACCATTGTCATTGGCATTATAGGCACCATTGTTGCTCCACCTCCACCTCCACCACCACCACCACCAACTCACTATCACAATATAAAATAATAAAATATATTTTAAAAATAATAAAATTTTAATTTAATATTATATATATCAAACAATTTGTTTTAGTTTAGCACTTAAATTTTTATCAAATAGTTTTTCAGCTTAAAAAAATCAACATTTAGTTTTCATTATCAAATAACTTTTTAGTTTAAAAAATTCAGTATTAAGCTCTTAACACTAAATTTTCAGTTTTCAATTTTCAATTTTATCAAATACCACCTAAGCGAACATCTCATTTTTATGTGAACACAAAATGAAGCTCTATATAATGCAATTTTAAAATCCAGAATTGCATAGAAAAGAAAAAAAAGAAAGAAAAAAAAAACACATTTTAACAAGTGCGATAATTTTAACTTTCATTAATTGGAAGGGTGAAAAAGTCCTTACTACACCCGTGTAGTCTCTTTATATATATATATATATATATTGTGGTATCAAGAGGTTGGGATGATTTGGAGTCATTTATGATTTCTGCATCATATTCTATACTAGCAATTTCTTCTAATAAGGAGTTCCCCTTCAACTACTTACTCATGAAGAAAGGCTAGTTTTTTCTCCACTTGCGTTTTGGTAAGAGAGCGCCTCATACGCTAAACCAATCCTTGATCTTTGCCTATTGATTCTTCAAACACAAGAAATAGTCAATTTTGGTAGGTGGGTATAGAGCAGTGTATATATGGGGTGTCATTTCATTTGTTTAGTGGTTTTTATTAACTGGTCTTATACTCAAACTGACTGTATGCAAAGAATTTCTAAGTTATCAACTTCCCTAGATTTGAGCTGTGTGATCTCGTGTTATGTTCCAATAATTTATTAATCACCTCACCCAGTGGCTTATTAAAAATTTAATTGCAGTTTTACCATTTTGTTTCAAGAAATATATATCAAATTGTCAATCTTTATCAGTACAAAAACTATGCAAACCAACTCAAAAATATCCTGCTGCAGTCTTTGGGGGCAGCAACAACAAATACATTTTAACTTCATTTTGTATTCGATTACAATCATACAAAATGTCCAAAACATAATGTCTTCTTATTGTAGCAACTAATGCATTAATTTCAATTCAAGGAATAGTAATAGTATTCACTGAGATTTCTTGCGGAAGTGGTGAACTTTGCAGGTCTAACTATGAAGGTATATATATATATAATTAACAAAATTTTGAAAATGTCACTCATAAAAGCACTTTTAGGGATAAAAACAATTTTGTGCCAAAATGTTTACTTTTTTAGATGAAAATTTTGGTCCCAAGAGAATAGTAATCCATATTGATGATATGTCTTGGACCCTACTGGTTATTGATAAATAATGTGAAGAAAATAATCAGCTTATAAGAAATTAATTAGAAAAAGTATAATTAGCTGAAGCTAATTAATGAGCCAAGCTTAGAAATAAAAGACCTTTCAGTGTCAACAAAACCCCTACCTGATTTGAAAACAAAGAGCAGCAAGAAAAATAAAGGGTAAAGAAATGCTCAATTGCCTATTTGGGCTAACTGAATTAAGAAAATAAGTAAGGTGTTACCCCCAATAAACAAAGAGATGATAGGAAATTGATAAATGAGAATAAATTGACCACCCTTCTAGGATTGTTAGAGAATAAAATGAGTTTGGGAAACAACAACAATATTGCTCAGAATTGTTTGCCTCTAACCATGGCAATAAATTTCATAAATGCTGATGAAAATACCACTGGGACAATTTGGTTTACTACTAGGCTTTGTTTTCTTTTACTTTCCCTCCACAAGTTTCCCCTCAAAATCCTGATCCAAACACAACCGTAATATTTCAAAGTTGCAAACCTCTGAACAAATGATTACTTGCAGAGTTGAATTTCTTAATAATTATATGGATTTAATAATATAAGTGTTGTTATGTATCCCCACTTGGGATGAAACTACTCTTAAAGCTATTGATAAAAGAAGTTTGTGGACTGTAAAATGAAAATTAGATTGAGTATTAGTTAATTCTAGTGAGTTCAAGTTTTCAAAAAAGCCGATGCTGAGTTATTGGCTAGTATAGTTTCGTATCATTGTCCTGTTGTTACTTTAATGGCTGAAATTAAATTAAGAAAGCTTTTCATAATCGTCAATTTTTGGATGAAGCATGGGATGGGAATATCAAGGAGATTCTTCAAACTTCTTCAAATTTAAAAGGTAGCTGGTTCTCAAGTGTTGAGAATGAGTCTTAAAATGAAAAGAATCGAGTTTGTTTTTGAAAAACTAAACAAAAAAACACCGATCTAAATTAGAGTCATTGAAGCAAAAGAGAAACTAAATTAGATCCAAGAGTGCTTTAACTTTTCATATAACCACGAGCACCTTCATGGATTTGGGTAGGGATTTGGAAAGAAAGAAGAAAGGAAAAAGTGGGCGAAATGTGAATGAAATAGAGCTACATTTCACCCACCTTTTCTCCTTCTCTTTCCAAATATATATCCAAATCCATGATCCAACCACAACATAAAGAATGTTCTTAAAAAGTGAATACCATGTGAACACTCAATTAGGCCCTGTGGCACAGAATAGAGCCTATTTAAATTCTAATAAATCAGCCACCTAAGGAGCTATAAATGAAGATTTGTGTCGAGGAATTTAAAAAAGGTTCATGACTTTTTCTTTCATATGTATTCATTCATGTTGTTTCAATAAAGAAACTGCTGCACAGCACTAATTTGCTCCTAATGTATGAGTTAATAGCTGCAAGAATTGATCAGTGGGAGGTCTAATGGACTAGAGAAGTGGATAAAACAGAAATTGTGTTGATTCAGCTATAATACTAAAAAATCGCTACAACTCCAATTGTTTTTGACAAGTGCTATTACTACTAGTAAGCTAGCTAGCAATGAAAGATAATAGTAGTGTCGTGGTTTCTACCAGGAAAAAATTGACTGTCTCATTACATTCTGCAACTCGGAGTGCGAAAGAAATTGTAATAAAGCTGTGAATGCCAAGACAACTACATAATGTTGCTCAAACTTATCTTCAGATGCCGACAGCGCACAGAGTGTTGACTGCTGAAGTGTGTGCAGGTTGAATGGTGTTGGACGCCTTGCACAAATAACCTTTTTTTGTTTGGATAAATCAAACAGAGCTAATAATAGGAACACTCTAGAAGAATAGGAAATATCAGGCGAGCTACTAATAAAAAAGATTCATCCACTGTGTTGTGAGACTCAAATGCTAAAGTATTAGCCTAACAGTTTGCTTCTTTTCCTTCCAAGAACACCATGAAGGATTCAAGCCGTTGCAAAGTATATTAATCTCCTCCCTAATGTCACCAATAACTGAAAGATCTCAACAATTCTGAGGCAAAATCTCCAGTGCAAAACTTTATATCACAGAGCATAGGGCTTCAATATGACCTGCTCAACATTCCATACAAAAGGTTGTGTTACTATTATCTAGAAAAAGATTTCCATTGAGCTAAGAAAGAACATCTAAAAGAGAAACAGACTCAGGTCAAATCAGGAATGCTTCTCCTCACTGAAAATACCCATTTTGGTAAGCTATTTGGTCAGCAAGAAATTATTATGGTTGCAAGCATGAAGCGAATCTTTTGAGGACCAGCTGCTCCAACATTGTAACTAAAAGAGCTATGATGTGTAGACACTTGCTATGTCAACATATTGGACATTTGAAAAAAAAAAGAAAAGAAAAAAGTGTAACTTCTTTCCTTGTAAAGGTGCAGAAGTACATGATTGTGTTCCATAATTTTCAACTAATTTATATATCATTGCATTACTATCTACAGTTCTTGGCAAACACATTTAAACTTTGAAAAAGTAAACATATGCATATATGATATGAACAGATTAAGTAAAACCCTTCTCCATGTTTCCACTTCCAGGGAGATGCTTTGTTGTGTTTGCACTGGTAAATGACATTGTTACGACTGCCCACAATCACGGCATAGTGAACAAATTGAGATGATTTCTAAAGCAAAGCAAAAATGAAATAACAAGAACACAGGTTCAGAAGAAATGACAGACCTGAGACATCTTTCCTCCCGACGTTCTTTGGTTGTGAATTATTAGTGAGCTGAATGGCCTTAAAATGAAGCATAACACATTCCCCCAGAGCTGGTACAGCGTGCTCAACAAAACTTTTAGTAGTGCAAACATCTGAACATTGAAATTTTAATATCAAAGCTTAAATATCATAATTGTGGCCATCAAATTTGGTAAAAAAAAGAGCATGATGCATTTTCATCACCTAAACTCCAAATTACAATTGGATGCTACTTTAAAAAATGAGGGGGAAAAACACACACATGGGATGCTACAAATGGCAAATGTGGAGGGGGCACAAATCGATAAATAATTTCTCTAGGCACTTGAATTAGGACCAAAGAAACTTTATATGAACTCCTCCTATACCCCATACCGTAGAATGGAGAAGGGTGGGTGCAATGATTTTACTGCACTCCCAATTCTGAGGCAATGTTTTTGTGTTTACGAATATTGATCTCTCATTTCCATATCAATGCAATGTCAAATTATTGGAATAAATAGGACCTTCTTGTGGTAAAAATATTACAATATTTCATGTTCCTATGACATGCAGGAATGGTGTTACATGTCAATTTTTCCAACTTTTCTAATTTCTTGATGAGAACCATTTTTGACAATATTGTTGTAATAACTAGCATGGTTACTAAATGAAAGAATTGCAGAGTTAGTCCGTTTCATTTCAACCAGCAAGCAACGTAGAGTAGAACTTAGAAGGGTTATTTCATAGTGTCAATGGAGATCATAACCTATATATAACCCAATGAGATCTTATTATTTGTTTGCACCACTAACAATAATTCTATTTCATTACCAATTAAAAACGTGAAAGAATATTGGGTAAAAATCTATTATCTATATAAGGATGTTGTTTCAATTATATACAATACATTTTTGAAATTAACTAAATATTATAAAATTATTGATTGAATATATTCTAACCTATTTATATCACTATATGCACTTACACAACTCTTTTTCCACTTATACTTCACCTTTTCAAAAAATGAAGGGGGGGAAAAATGTACTATGTGTTGGAAATGGTTAATTTTTCCTAAGTTAGGTCTATTTTTTAGGTGGGCCCCGAGTGTCGATTTACTCGGGTCAAAGTGGTAACGCGTTCTATGTCGCGTTGTGATTCACGTGGTATATTTGGTTAATCAAAACCATTACCGAGTGAATGGGAAATTGAAGCCAAAGTGTGCTCCATGGAAATGGAGTTTTGGTGGAAATTCCTTAAGGTTGTAAATTGGCTTGTCCCACATTGATTTGGTGGGAAGGTTTGAAAGGGTTTATAAGGCTTAGGGTGAGATACTTGGGGTGTGCCCCAAGGGGTACCCAAGTGTTTTAGAGGGAGAGGTTATGGGCAAAATGGGCTAGACCCATTGGACCCAAAAAAACACCACACGCGCGCCGCCGCCGCCGGTCGGGCGGGCTGGGCTGGGCTTGTGCGTGGTTGGGTTGGGCCAAAAACATTTGAATTTAATTTTATTTTTTATTAAAATAAAATCCATAATTCAAATTAAATTGGTTTGGATTATTTGTTCATCCAAACAGGGCCCTTCCCGGTTTCAAACAGAAATAAACTGTTTTGGAATTAGTGCACACCCAAACAGGGCCCTTCCCGTTTTACTATCTGTTTGAATTAATTCAAATCTGTTTGAATTCAAAACCCAACAGGTATGATACCTGTTCAATTCAAATCAAAGAGTCACCTTCACATCTATAAATAGGACCACCCTCATTTGGATTTTGTAACTCTAATTTTCGTCCTTCATAATTCTGCAAACTTCCTCTTCATTTTGCTGCATTATTTTCTTGTCAGAGAGCGTATAAACATTTAGTGTGTTCGTAAGGCAAACAATTTGTAGTGCTGCTATTGTTTGTGGTAGATCATTTCATCCTGGGAGATAGACGTCCGAATTCTGAAAGCACCGTGGAGAGGACGAATCTGTCTTAAGGACACAGTGTCAAACACTGGACTTGATCAGAAAATAATTCAAAGAAATTAAATCAAGTAAGTTATTTAATTTATTTTCAGTGTTGTTTTTATTTATTTAAATCAGATTTTAATTTTGTTTTTGTAACAAAATAAAATCTGTTTTTTTATTTATATATTTTTATTTCAAGTTTGATTTTTGTAATCAAACATATTCTCTCCTTTTCTTTATTTCTTTATATTCTGGTTGTTGTTTAGTACACAACAGAATTTAATTAATTTAAATACAGTGAAGATTGCCTAACACTATGTTGTTGAGAAGCTCACAAGAATTCTGGATAATATGGCCAAAAGAAGACAAAAGAGAATCAGTACCCGTCAAAGTACTTACCATAGTTAAAGGAATCCCCTTCAATCTGAACATCATGAAGACCCAAAACCCTGGCAAACTATTACTGTTACAATTACCTCCACTTTGTAAACAATCACACCAACACTTCAAAAGAGCACCATCAAAATTGATTTTAAACACGCCCTCCACCTGGGGCCTCCAACTGGGCACTCTTTTTGTTGAACAGGAGCAGCCACCTTGAGCTGTGTATGTGTATCGGTATAACCTTGTAAGTAATCAGCCACATACCTAGCCACCTCCTCTGCTGATTAACTCTTCTTATTAAAAACCCAATCATTGCGATTGTATCAAATACTCCAACAAGTGAAAAAAAATAATCCCAAAGCCAATACATCCATCTGTAGGCTAAACTCCTAGGTCAAGAAAAGAAAGTTTGTAATTGGGCCTATATTCAGAACAGAGTAAAGAGGGCTTACAGACGCCAAATGGAAATAACAGAGTCATCAAATTGAATTACCTTGCACCTGTTATCAATCAAGTTTGGTCGAACAGGGAGGATATATGAACACGTTTTCCATGCAAAGATTTCCACTTTATTCGGAATTTTTAGCTGCCAAATCTTCATTGAAAATGCCCTTTCAAATCTCCCATCATCTGAGCTGATCCGTGTTTCTCTTCTTTGCAAAACCGTCTCCAAATGATATATGCCAACTTAACAGAAAAAAGGCCATTTTTAGTGAAGTGCCAAACCAGTATGTCATGAGCAAGCCTTGGGCAAAGAGGGATTTTACATATCAACTCAACTTCAAAATCCAAAAAGCACTATTTGATCAGAGTTTCATAAATAAGAGAAATCCTTAGCATCAGCATCATGGAGGACTCTGAAAACAAAAATAGGTTTGTAAGATAAGGCCTTGGAATCCATTCCCAACACACCAACGCAGCCCAGCCTCCAGAAAAGACTTTGCATTCCAAATAAACATTGGGTTACTACTCAAGCTACCTTGAAGAAAATTTGAATAAGCAATTGCCGGCCTTCAATAGCTAATAGAGCTTTATTAAAAGCCCATCCCACAAAGCCAAACAGCCAAAGCTCAACTTTGTACAATATCTTTCATCTATACTTCTTTCTTTTCTTTTTCTTTCTTTTTTCCCCTTCAAGTACTATCTTACAAATTGCAGACAAAATCTATTGCCTTTGATGAAGTGGAAATTTATTATATCTTTAACAATATAATCTTATCTCCAATATGAACTTCATTGATAAAAGAGACCAAGTACAAGAGTTTAACCACCTAAACATGACAAACAAAACAGGAAAATAGAGCTTTGAATAAAAACTTTAAAATCACAAGAACTACGAAGGACTACAACTAGTAGAATAGCAAAAAAACCGAACATCTCAGAAATAAAGGAGCAAGCTGATTGAATTCTTGATGAAGCCCCAAAACCAGCTGGAGCTTAGCTTGCGAGAAGAAGCTATTGTTTGCCATAGTAAAGCTGCAAAGCTAAAAAGACTTAGCTAGGAGTAGATCATACATCCATGGAGGTAAACCAACATGAATATCCTTACTGCCTTTCAACTGCCCAAACAATTAACCTTAACATACCAACCCTACTGAAGGAATGTGAGGTAAAGAAGCACAACACGAATCTACTGGAGAAAACAAACAAACAAACAAACAAACAAACAAAAATAAACAAAGAGGAAATATCAAAGCTAATTCATGAGCATAAAACCAAAGACAGAGGACAGAACTTATACTAGTGTATTCTTCTTTGCACATAACCAGAATATGTGCTAACTTATTTATAGCATTGTGTGAACTTATACAAGTCTTTTATAACTTACAATTTACTTGTTCAAAGCAAGAGGTGAAAAAACATACTCCAATAGTCCAACAAGACACAAAATGATAGAAAATATGGGTAGGGTAACATTCAGGAAATTTAATATGGTTATGTCATTTTGGATTGTATGAAGATTCAAGTGGAGAACAAATAGACAGACGCACCCAAATTTTATTGGAAAAAGAATTGAAATGGAAAACTCTTTTATATATTTGATCACCTCAAACCTAGCAGAGAAGCATGACAAACCAAGGTTCACAATAATTCCTGAGCTCGTGGGTGCCAATTGGTACTTCACAATTTGAAGTGGAAGAAGTTAACAATGGGTTTGCCAATGGTGCTGTTCACAAGTATGTAAATAAAAGTGCAGACAAAAACAAAAGTGAAAGGCAGCAATTTGAACAGCCAAAAAACAACTTTGTACATTTTCTTACATCGCTACTTCCTCCTTTTCTTCTTTTCTTTTTTCCCTTTTTTTTGCTTCCTCGTTCATTTCTGATATTTTGTGTCCTCTAATGGAAAAAGGTATGCTTTTTCAAGTATTCAAATCCCTTCATGAGTGTCTCTGACAAGCATCCTCAAAAACTTCCTGCAAGACAAGGAAACAAATCCATAAGTTGATAAAAGATTCGAAGAAATATACACGAAATGTTAGTGTAGTGGAGGACGAGTTTTATTTTTACCCTAGAAGGGAACCCATCATAAAGATGAGCGGGTGCCATCCCAACCTTATGCACAACATAGGCCTCGTTTGGGAAGTGGCTATTTTAGTAGGCTATTTTAGTTTTTGGCTATTTTAAGTAGGCTAAAATTTTTGTGTTTGGGAAGATGATTGGATTTTTTTGTGGTTGGATGTGATGTTTGTGAGAGAAAAAGTGAAATGATTATGGGTTTGATGTGATATTTTGTCTTATTAGCTATTTTAGCCTATTTTGTCTTTTTGTGATTTTTAGCCTAAATTTGGCTATTTTTTTTCTTCCCAAACACCCCCATAATCTATTAAAAAAAATTAGATCATTGTCAAACAGATTAAGATGTAAATCATTTTGTAAATGTTAATTGTTAGAATAGTTATTATTTTTATTTTATTGTTCATCTATTAATATTTATTTAAGTTGAGGGTATAATGGTCATATCACTATATTAGAGTTTATATATATATATATATATATTTTGCTAGTGTAATTAATAGATTCATTCTTGATATATAAAAAATTCTCTCTCTCTCTTCTCTTATCTATTCTTCTTCTTCCTAAACCCTAATCATAAATTGCTTCATTATTTATTCTAACTTGATATCAGAGCAACAATCCATCTTTGTCTAGTGTTTGTCAGACTCTTGAAGTTTTTTTATGGTATGTTTGGTTGGGGGATTTGGGGAGGCATTTAGAAAGGGAAAGGGAAAAGGTGTGTGAAACTATGTGAAATATAAATATATTTTATTCATATTTCACCTAACTTTTCCTTTTCCCTTTCCAAATCCCTCCTCAAATCCCCCAACCAAACACAGCGTTAAGGTGTAAACGACATGCTGACGTCATCTTTCGAATGATGATGTCAGCGTGATGTCACTGTCTATACGGACGAGATGCTCCCTCCCTGGTCACCTCTCTTTCCTGATGTTAATGGTGATTTTTCCAAAATTTTTTTGGACCATCTAATGTTAGTTTTGTATTTTTTAATGATTTTCAAGTTATTTGGCGTCATTTTTTTGATCTGTGATTCTGCGAGCTATTTGCAATATCTACCTACTGGGTTGTCTTCTTTGGGAGCCGAAATTAGTGTCTACACCTTTCTTGAGTGTTGTTTTGTGATTTGGTGGTGTTTTCTTGGAGTTTTTTCGGATTTTGGCTTCTCACTGTTTGACAAATAGGACGTTTTCCTCTCTGAATTGGCCCTATAGCTAGGAACTCTCTTCTTGGACTCTTCTTGTTGCTATGTTGATGCTTAGTTGTGTGTTGTTGTTTAATTGTTGGAGTTCTTGATTGATTGTTCTTGCTTCTCAATCCCCTGTAATTAAGGATGATGAAATATCCAAGTCAACTACCACTAAGAAATTAAATGGTTTAAATTATCTAGCTTGGGCTCATGTTATTAAGATTTTCTTACGTGGCAAGAAGAAGTCATAGTTTCTTATTGAACTTCCACCTATTGAGGATGGTAAAGGTTATGATGATTGGTTGTGTGAAGATTCCTATGTTATGGGTTGGATTTGGCATAATCTAGAACCACATGTTGCTACTACCATGGAATTTTGTGATACCTCTAAGGAAAATTGGGACTCCTTTGCTAAATCTTTTTCAAATCAGAGTAATGTCTCTCAGGTCTATGAGTTATATGAGAGATTTTTTCTATGTGTCAATCTGGCCGGTCACTTCCCGAGTATTATAGTAGTCTCAAGACCTTATGGGATCAGTTGTTGCAGCATCGGCCCTTCACTATTGATATAAACAAACAGAAGCAACATTGGGAGGAATTTATGATGACTTCCTTACTTTCCGGCTTAGATCCTAAATTGAAGGGGTTCAAGGATCAGATTCATGCTAGTGAGACTTTACCGTCTTGTACTAATGCCTATTCTCGACTGTTACGTTCTTTCTTGGGCCAGTCCTAACGCCCATCTGGGTCTTCTACATTGTCTTTTTCTGCCTTGATCTCTAGTAGTAGTGATCAAGGGTCTACTCACAGCGGTTCTCACGGCTCTTCTGGTTCACGAGGTTCTTGTGGAGGTGGTTCCCGTGGTAGGAGACTTCATGGTACTGGTTCACGTGGAGGCGGTAGTAGTGGACCTGGTTCCGGCACACGTGGTGATCGCAAGTGTACTCATTGTGGTTCCCAAGGTCATACTGAACCTTGGTGTTGGTAAACGTATGGCAAACCTGATCATGTGCATTAGGTTATGGATGCTCTATCCTCACAGCCATTCTTATTTTCCACTGGTTCTGTTGCTTCTCCAATTGATTCTTATGAGACTCTCACTACTCAGATTAGTGAGCTTACCGCTATTGTCCAATCTCTCCGGCTCGGTCTGCTTTCATCCTCTACTGCTACTACAGCTAGTTCAGGTAATGTTGCATGTGTGGCCAAGTCTACTCAGCCTTGGCTTCTAAACTCTGGTGTTATTTCCCATATCCCTGGTAATTCCTCTCTTTTTAATACTCTTAGGCCTGTTGATCATACGATTATACTTGCTGATGGATCTTCTCAACCTATCAGTGGTCAAGGTCCTCTTCATCCCACTCCATCTATTTCCTTACCTTCTAGTCTTTATGTTCCTAAGTTTCCATCTAATTTGTTTTCTGTTAGCCAATTGACTCAAGCTCTCCACTATTCCATAACCTTTTCTCCCAATTCATGTGTTTTACAAGACTTCCAGACCAAGAAAATGATTGGTTCGGGGCATGAAAAGGATGGCTTATATTTTTTAGGCACTGAGATTTCTCTTACTCCTTCATCTACTGTGTTGAGCGGTACTATATCTCCTTTTTAGTGGCATTTCCACTTGGGTCATCCCTCTTTGGCCAAGCTTAAGTTAGTTGTTCCTAGTTTAAGTCATGTTTCTAAGATTGAGTGTGAAGCCTATTAACTTGGATAGTATCACCGTAGTTCTTTTCCTAGTCATAGTGTTAGTCGTGTGTCTGAGTCGTTTGCTCTTGTCCATACGGATATCTGGGGTCCTTCTAGAACTCCCACTGTTAATGATTTTTTTTATTTTGTTATTTTTGTGGTTGATTACTCTCAGATCACTTGGTTGTTTTTAATGAAATAGATATCTGATTTCCCTTCTATCATCTCTAAGTTTTATAATGAAATCTTTACTCAATTTAGGAAACGTATTACATTTCGATCTGATAATACCTTAGAATATGCGCAGTCTATTGTGACTACCTTTTTGTGATGCTCGTGGTATTATTCATCAGACTAGGTGTTCTCATACATCTCCTCAAAATAGTGTTACGGAGCGAAAACACTGTCATTTGTTAGATGTTACTCGCACACTGATGTTTAATATGCATGTCCCCAAACAGTTTTGGGGCGATGGTGTTCTCACCGCATGTTTCCTTATTAACGTATGCCCTCCAATGTTGTGCACACGTCTCCATATCATCAGTTATATCCCATATTGTCTCATTTTCCCTTGTCACCTCGTGTTTTTGGATGTGTTTCCTTTGTCCATGTTCTTAACCCCAGTTTGAATAAGTTATCTCCTCATGCTCGCAAGTGTGTGTTCTTAGGCTACTCTCATACTCAGAAAGGGTATCAGTGTTATCATCCTAAGTCACGTCAATACTTTGTTAGTGCTGATGTTACTTTTTCCTTCTCCACTCCTTTTTTTCTCCTCCTCTGAATAATAGTTATCCACTGATCTTCTTTCTTGTCGCAAGGGGGAGCCTGCTTCCCTCACCCCTACTCTTTCGTTATATGATCCTTCAACCTCCTCTTCTATATTTTCTCCTTCTAGTATCACCTCTACCGCTCCTTTGCAGGTTTATCAGCGGTCTCAAGCTCGTCACATTGTATCTTATACCTTGACCAGTTCATCTCCTTCACATGAGGTTCCTAACTCCCTTGTTCCACCTGTCGATGTGCTCTCTGATGACTATCTTATTACCCTTCGCAAAGGTAAACGTACTTGCACTCAACATCCTATTACTAATTTTGTTTTTTTATGCTCGCCTCTCTCTCAGCCTTCACTCCTTTGCTTATAGCTTGTTTAGTATTACCATTCCCCATTCATATCAGCAAGCTATGTCCATCTCTGGTTGAAAGCATGCTATGGATGAGGAAATGCATGCCCTTTATAAGAATCGGACGTGGGAACTTGCCCCCTACCTTCTGACAAATTTATTGTGAGTTGTCGTTGGATTTATACTGTTAAAGTATCTTTCTGATGAGATTGTTAAGTGGCTTAAGGATCACTTGGTAGCCAAAGGTTGCCAACAAACCTATGGTGTTGATTACCTAGAGACTTTCTCTCTTATGGCTTGTCTTAACTCTGTTCGGATCCTTCTCTCCGTTGCCGTTAGTAAGTCTTGACCTTTATATCAACTTGATATCAAGAATGCCTTTCTTCATTGTGATCTCCATGAGGAGGTCTATATGGATCATCCCCTTGCTATGTTGTTCCCGGTCATAAGCATCTTGTTTGTCGATTGTGGAAGGCTTTGTATGGTCTCAAGCAGTCCCCTCATACCTGGTTTGATCGTTTCAGTGCTGTTGTGACCGTCTATGGTTTTCGCCATTCCATCTTTGATCACGATCTCTTTGTTCGCCACTTGTCTACTGGGAGTATTGTTCTTATTGTCTATATCGACAACATAATCATTTTTTGGAGTAATTCCACTAATATTGCTAATTTGAAGCGGTATTTAGGCCAATAATTTCATGCTAAAGACTTAGGTCATCTTGGTATTTCCTTAGGATTGAAGTTGTTGGCTCTTCTCAAGGATTATTTCTCTCCCAACGGAAGTATGTTCTTGATCTTCTCACTGAGACTGGTCTCTTAGGCACTCTTCCTAGTGATACTCCTATGGATTCTAGTGTCAAACTTGATGGTGAAACTAGGGACTTGTTTCCTGATATTTGTCGTTATCATCGGCTAATTGGGAAGTTAATCTATCTCACTGTCACTCGTCCCGATATTATGTATGTCGTGGGAGTGG